TCAGAGCGGGAACCACAGGTGGCCCAGGCGGACCAGTAGACAGGCAGGCAGGCCTGCATGTGCGTGGCCAGGTCTTGGCGGCTAGGCCCAGCGACTCCCCCTTCCCTGCCAGTCGCTGCCTGGGTCCCTCGGCCACGGTGACCCGGCCAGTGGTTCCTGAGGTTTCCTACTGCCCGGCTCACTAGGCCACAGCCCTTCCTGAAGGGTGTTTCTCTTCCTCTTTGTCGGCCTCCCAGCTGACGACGTGGAGGACTTTGAAGGTCAGGGGCATGAGCCAGTCCTCTGCCAAGGGTGGGCTGAAGAAAGTGCCCCCTGGATGTGTGTGCAGGAAAGAGTGGGGCGGGGCAGCGACCCAGACCTGGTTTGCGAGCCCCCGCCCCGCTGGTCCCCCCAGGCACATCCTTGCAGGAAACGCCCCACTGCCGCCTGGAATGTTCTCTGCATCCAAAGGCACTGGCCCCCGCTCCAGCCATCCTCCGCAGCTGCCCACGCGGGGTGCTCCGAGTGCTGGGTGGGGGCACGAGACCCCAGCCGATTCTGGGAGCCCAGAGTCCCGTCTGAAAGGGGGCTGGAGACCCTGACTGCAGAGTCACAGGGAGACTGCAGCCTGCTGCCACGCCGGGCACCTGAATGCAGCTCGCCTGGTCGCACCACCAGGCCGGAGCTAACGACAGTGACACCGGTGGAAGACGAGAGACGGAGGCAGCCCCCTCTCCCCCCGCCCCCACCCCTGGAGCCAGGAGTCCCCCACCCGCCACTGGCTGCCACGCACACCTTCCCGAAGGCAGGCTCTGCCCGCAGCTCTCTCTTGCATCCGTGGCTCCCCGCTCCCTCAAGGATAAGGTTGCCTTTAATCTAGGAGCTTCCCTGGTAGCTCAGTTGGTAGACTCCACCTGCAATGCAAGAGACCTGGGCTCCATCCCTGGGTCAGGAAGATCCCCCTGGAGAAGGAAATGCCGACCCACTCAGTATTCTTGCCTGGGAATTCCCATGGGCGGAGGAGCCTGGTGGGCTAGAGTCCGTGGGGTCGCACAGAGTCAGACACGGCTGAGTGGCTCAAGCACGCCTCCCAGGGCCTACAGCGCTGCCCTGCCAGAGGGAATTACTCTCTGCTGGTGTGGAGGCCTGACCAGGAAGTCAGAGAGGAGGCGTGGGGTGGGGTCGGGGTGGGGGGCTTCGGTGGAGACTTCAAGGTGTCACAGCAAAGACTGCAAGCACTCTACATGCCCGATGCACAGCTCTTTACAGACTAGCCTGCTAAGAACCCAATGAGGCAGGGGCAGGAGTCACCCCATTTCCCAGAGGCACAAACTGAGGCTGGGTGAGGCGAAGTAACTGCTGGGACATGGCAGGGCCTGCTTCCGAGCCCAGACACCCTGGCCCACCGCTGTGCTGCCTTCCCTGCTTCCTTCTAGCCCAGGCTGGGGGCTTCTTCCTAGGAAGAAAGAAAAACTCCACGAGGAATGCTAGCCCCAGCGCCGTCTGTGTGCCAGCACTTTCCACAGGGCCTCACACTTATCTGCACACAGCTTGTCCTCCTCCCCACGGCTCAGAGTGGGTGAGAGACCTGTCTGGGGGCACACAGGGAGTGGATGGAAGGGCCAGGGCTCCGTCTAACCCCTGGGAACTTGCTACAAATGCACCCCAGACCCGAGGACCCAGAACAGCCAGGCCAGGGTCCTCCATGCCATTCTATCCCACGATTGAGCCCGGTAACCCCCAGGGGCTGTTTTCCCTCCAGGGCCTCTGCCCTGGGCCCTGGTGGGCACTCGCCTCCCACCTTCTCCCCTCAGTCCCCCAGAGCTGAGTGAGAAGGGGAGGGGGAGCCTGGACCTCTGGGGGGACATCTAGTTTCGGGGCATCTCCATGCCCCGGCCAGTCCCCGCTTCACTTGATGGAGTCCGAGGGATGATCACATCTGACAGCCAATCCCCCTCCCCTGCTGCACGTTCCCACCTCCCAAATTTGTGAGGATTAAGGGAGGTAACAGGCGGAGTAAGCACAAAGGGCTCCTCCTAAACCACCTCTCTGTCACCTCTGTTGGTGTTGCTCAATTGCTCAGTCATGTCTGACTCTTTATGATCCCATGGACTGCAGCACGGCAGGCTTCCCTGTCCTTTATCATCTCCTGGAACTTGCTCAAACTCAGGTCCATTGGGTCGAAGATGCCATCCAATCAGCTCATCCTCTGTCGGCCCCTTCTCCTGCCTTCAATCTTCCCCAGCATCCGGGTCTTTTCTAATGAGTCAGCTCTTTGAATCAGGTGGCCAACGTATTGGAGCTTCAGCTTCAGCATCAGTCCTTCCAATGAATATTCAGAACTGATTTCCTTTAGGACTGACTGGTTTGATCTCCTTGCAGTCCAAGGGACTCTCAAGAGTCTTCTCCAACACCACAGTTCAAAAACATCAATTCTTCGGCATTCAGCCTTCTTTATGGTCCATCTCTCACATCCATACAGCTTCCTCAGTTGGTAAAGAATCCTCCTGCAATGCAGGAGACCCCAGTTCGATTTCTGAGTCAGGAAGATCCGCTGGAGAAGGGATAGGCTACCCACTTCAGTATTCTTGGGCTTCCCTGGTGTCTCAGCTGGTAAAGAATCTGCCTGCAATGTGGGAGACCTGGGTTCAATCCTTGGGTTGGGAAGATCCCCTGGAGAAGGGAAAGGCTACCAGTTCAGTATTATGGCCTGGAGAATTCCGCGGACTGTATAATCCATGAGATCGTAAAAAGTCCTACACTTCTGAAGGACTTTCACTTTCACACTTTCACACTTTCACATCCATACATGACTACTGCAAAAACCATAGCTTTGGACAGACCTTTGTCGGTAATGTCTCTGTTTTTTAATACACTGTCTACGTTTGTCATAGCTTTTCTTCCAAGAAGCAAGTGTCTTTTAATTTCATGGCTGCAGTCACCATCTGCAGTGATTTTGGAGCTCAAAAAAATAAAGTCTGACACTGTTTCCATTGTTTCCCCATCTATTTGCCATGAAGTGGTGGGACCGGGTGCCATGATCTTAGTTTTCTGAATGTTGAGTTTTAAGCCAACTTCTTCGCTCTCCTCTTTCACCTTCATCAAAGGGCTCCTTAGTTCCTCGTTGCTTTCTGCCATTAGGGTGGTGTCATCTATATTACCATTAAAACTCCTATTTTTACGGTGGAGCTAACACCCCACCCCCCACCTTCCGCGGCTGCTAGCCGAGCTCAGGGATAATCTCCCTACAACAGCCTTCACGACCCAGGGGCGGGTCCACTGCCGACTCCCCTTAGTCGGGGTCTTGGCTCATGGGGCCTGCTGCCTGGTCACCCCTCCCAGCAGTTCTTCCAGCCTTCCCCCACCCTCCTGCCCAACTAGGGAAGGGCCCGGAGCGCGGGGCCCTGGGGCACAGGGTTAGGGGGTCTCTGCTCCCACTGGCAAGGCGCGCCCAGAGCAGCTGATGTCACCCTGGCACGCGGTGAGTGGACACAGGAGGAAATGGTGGCTCCACGGCTGAAGGTCCAGCCAGAGGTGGGGGTGGCGTTGGGAGTGGGGAGACCAGTGTCCAGGCCTGGGCTTGCAGCTCCGCCAGGCCTCCAGGCCTTGAACCCCAGGCAGGGCTGGGTCCCAGAAAAGAGACGGTCCTCGCCTGCTCCCCACCAGCCCCACCTTGGTTCTGCTCAGGGCTTGCTCCCGCGGCAGTCAGGGCTTTGCCCCCAGGCGTGGAGCGGGGGTGGGGTCACTTGGAGGCTGTTTTGTTTTTTTTTAATTTAAAATTTATTGTCTGCACACTTTATGGGCGCTTAGCCCCCCATTAGAGATCGAACTCACATCCCCTGCAGAGGAAGCGGAGAGTCTTAACCACTGGACTGCCAGGGACATCCCACTGTAGCCGCTTTTAGAGTTCAGCTCTGGAGAACCAGTAAACCGAGAGGCAGCGGGGACTGGGCAGTTTCCACGAGGTCAAGGACTTAACGTCCATCCATCCTGCCTGCCCCTGGGGTGGGGATAGTGGGGGGAAGAGGGAAGACTCCAGGGCTCCCCTTGGAAGGCAGGAGGGGCTGAGAAGACTCAAGTCTCAGCTTGGGGTCTGTGCTGGGAGCCCTGGGGCAAGCCGCTTTCTGCTCTGGTCTCTGGTCTCGGTGTCCGAGCCCCTTGATTCCAGGCTGCTGTGATGTCTGGAGGACCCAGCGGGCTGGGCAGCCCTGACCGGGCTGGGGCCTGACAGTGTTAAATGGATGTGTGGGGTGAGGTGTGCCGCCTTGCCTGCCCCAGCCCCACACCCCAGGACAGCAGCCTAGCCCAGGGGTTTGCAGCAGGTCTCACGTGCCCACTCAAAGCAGAGCCCCGCCTCGCAGCTCTGTGACCCCGGACAGGTTCCTCCGCCTCTCTGTGCCTGGTTTTTTCATGTGTAGAATGAGATAATAATATACCATCTCGCAGGGCTTCCGAGATTACATGGCTTGGCAAAGCACCAAACCATGCCTTGTACGCGGGAAGAGACATTCAGGCTCAGCTGGGCTTCCAGAACATCTCAATGCTGTGCCAATGTATACATGCATGAAAGGCACATATTTTAAACTTTCTGCTTATTACGCAAAGGGGCTCAGGACCGCAGGAGAGGCATGTTCGATCCCTGAGTCAGGAAGATCCCCTCGAGGAGGAATGGCTACAGACCTCCGGCCGCACAGTCGGACACAGCTGAGGCAGGTGGAGCACAGCACCTGAAGAGCAGTCCGCCCCGCATCTGTGAGGCAGAAACTGCCGCTGAGCCGGGGTGCCGGGGGGGTGGCCGCATGGGGCAACACCTGGAGCCCCCGGGATGCCGGCCTGCTGGGTGCTGCCCTCTGTGCCTGGCCGTGGGCAAGTCCTCGGGAGGCTCAGAGACTAAAGCCCAGGACCAAGCGCCCTGCCCACCCCCGTCCTCGCCCTGCGGACAGCGCGAAGGGCTGCGGGGAGGCAGAAGGCAGGGCAGGCGCTAACACCGTCCCTTCTGCAGGCGGAGCACTGTGGCCGGGATGACCGGGTGGGCCCTGCGGCCGTGGCCTCGGTCAGCTCCGCGGTGGCCGGCACTCTGGACCCCCGCAGTGGCCCTTCGCCCCTTTGCCCGCGGAGCCCTCCCGGACCTGCGCAGCCTCTCTCGCTTCCATCCCCCCGCCCGTCGCAGGTCACCTGTCCAGGCGCGGCGGGTGGAGCCGGACCGCATCGCCCCTCTCCTCCCGAGCGGAGCTCCCTGCGCGGGTCCCGGTGGGGGGGTGGCGAGCGAGCACCTCGGGGCTCTGAAATGGGGAGCCAGCCCTTCCTCGGCCAGAGGGCGGGGTGTCAGGGCGCCCGTGCGGCTCCGCCTCGGGTTCCCAGGCGACTCGCGCCCCCCGAGCCTCCGTCTTTCAGGACGGGCCAGGGCGGCGGCGCTGAGCGAGGAAGGAAGGTCAGCCCGAGCCCCGCTCTGGCTCCCGCAACCGGAATCCCCGCCTTGCCCTGTGCGGGGAAACGGGGGCCGGGGACCCGGAGAGACAGACGGGGAGACAGACTCCGGGCCGCACACGTCCAAGTCGAGAGCGCGTGTCCGGCGGCGCCGGACGCTTCCTCCGCCGCCCGCCCCCACCGTCGGAGCGGGGCCTGCCGCCCGCAACCTGCCTGTCCCGAGTCCGGGCTCGCGGGCGCGAGCAGCCGGGGCTGCGCAGGGTCTCGGGATGGTGCGGGCGCTCGAGAGAAGGCCCGCGGCCCCAGGGACCGCCCCGGCCGCACCCCAGAGCCTCGCGGCCGTCGGCCGGTCCTGCCTGGCGGACGCCTGTTTCAGGACCCCAACCTGCCTGGTCTCACGTCAGCTCCGCGCAGCCGCCGTGCAGGTCAAGGCAGCTCGGGTATGGGGTCAGATCCGGGTCCCCCCCCCATCCCCACTGCAGCCTTTCTGGGAGGACAGGTTCCCCCAGCCCCTACTTGTCCTGGTGCGGGGAGGGTCTGTCCCCGCCTTGTCCCTGGGGGGAATCTGACCCCCACTTGTCCCGGCGCGGCGCTCAGCCTGGGTGGACACGTCGCAGGCCTCGAGGGGTGCTGTGATGGGGCTGATGGCCACGTCGGCGGCTCCTGGGGTCTTGGAGACGCTGGGAAGGGCGCCGGTGCCTCCCGGGGCTGCCTCTATTGGTGTGATTACCTTATTCCTGCATTTAAAAGGTTGAAATCGGATTGTTTACGTTAAAGAGAAACGTCCAGAAACATTGTGCGGCAGCCCGTCTAATTCAGGGGCTGGGGATTCAGTGTTGGAGCTAGACGGTGGGAATCCCTCCTCAGGCCTTCCCTCCAGCTCCCGCCAGGACTTATCTCTTGCCCCATTGTCAACCCATCTCCAGGGCCCCGTCGGAGGGTGGCCCTGGTGACCTCCCTTGGGGTCATTTACATAGGCCCCCCCGCCCAGCAGCCCACCAAGGGCAGAGGGGCTCCGTCCTGGCCCTGCCTCTCCCAAAGGATCAGCACGTGAGGACAAAGCCGAGGACCGAGGTGCAAGTGAGAAGTGTTCTCTCCGCGGTTTCTGGCTCTTTGATCCCAGGGACTGTAGCCCGCCAGGCTTTTCCAGGCAAGAATGCTGGAGTGGGTAGCCACTGCCCTACCCCCAGGGGATCTTCCCAACCCGGGTGTCGAACTTGGGTCTCCTGCATTGCAGGCAGATTCTTCACTGTCTGAACCACCAGGGAAGCCCTGGACCACGATGCTCACATTCAGTTAACACCGAAATTTCCCCTTGCTCTTGTGGTGTGGCCCTCGCGGAAGTCTGGGATGTTTTACTCCAGAATCGCCACAAGAGGGCGCCAAGAGCAAGCCTCCCTGGCCCAGAGCCAGGCCTCCACCCGACTTGAGTGCCCGCAGCAGCGCCGTGCCATCACCTCCATTCAAGCTTTGGAGGGTGCGTGTAAGGGAGGGGCCGGGAAGGAGGAGGCCAGGGAGCCTCAGGGATGGTTGGTCCTTACTCTTCATTTGGAACAACATTCTCTTACTGCATCGGCAGGAACACCACGGCCCAGAGCAGGCAGGGCCTCCCGAGGGCACACAGCAAAGGCTGGGCGCCACCGGGACACACAGCTCCCGCCTCCAGATCTGCCTGTCCGCAGTAGAGAAGGGCCCACGGCGGAGGGCAGCAGGGAGGGGGAGAAGCAGAATCGGAGGCTGGGGGCAAAGATGGGGCCCAAAGATGGACGCTGTGGGCGCAGCTCTGGGCCTCCAGGTCTGTCCTTAAAGAGGCTCCCCGACCCCAGTCTGCTGCTCCTCCACCAGGGCTTTGAACCTCAGGGACCCTGAGCACCTCCCGAGAGCCCTCTTAGGAATCCGTGTCGGCTAACACCTTGGGTGAAAGGCAGCGCCTTGGGTGACAGCTGGCACCCTCGTTAACGCGGAGGGAGAGGAAATCCCACCCAGGTGGGAAGGAAGTGGCATGACCTTTTGGGGGATGGGGTGGGGGGGGCATGCCAGCACGCACGCTCCTGACACAGGGCGCCAGGGTGTTGCGATGCTGTAGTTGCAGCCACAGAGCCTGCCCCAGCATTGCTGCCTGGCCCTAAAACAGCACCCCCACCATCCCTGCAGTTCAAGTTCTGTCCATGAGGTGGTGGATGTGTGTATGGAGTCCCGTCTCCGCACGTAGCTGACCGGGGTGCCCGCCGGCCTAAAACCCTCCCAGAGTTCCCCGCTATCACCAGGGACCGGTCCCTTGGCCGCTCCTCCCAGCATCGCAGCATATCTGCCAACCTCTTTTCTCACCCTCACCATCATCAGGTCGCCCACACTGTGGCCGCCTTGCACAGATCAGGCCTCTGCTGATCCTGCCCTGACGCCGTCTCCCCGGTCCTCCTCCTTGGAAACCTGTGCAAAGAGCTACAGCCAGGCCATGGCCGGAGGGTGGACACACCAAGATTCAGACACAATACACATTTTTACACCAATCATTCTCTGTCTGACCTGGTCCATTGTTTTAAAAAAAAAATTATTTTATTGACGTATAGTTGATTTAAAATGTTGTGTTAATTTCTTCTGTGGAGCAAAGTGACCCAGATATCCAGATGAATATATATATACATATATATATATATCAAGGTAGGATGGCTCAGATGGTAAAGCGTCTGCCTGCAATGCGGGAGACCCAGGTTCGATCCCTGGGTCGGGAAGATCGCCTGGGGAAGGAACTGGCATATATATATTTTTTCACCACGGTCTGTCACAGAACACTGACTACAGGTCCCTGCGTACACGGTATGACCGTGTTGTTTCTCCATCCCAGATGTAATAGTTTGCCTCTGCCACTCCAGGTTCCCACTCGCTCCCTCCCCACCCCCACAACCACAAGTCTGCTCTCTGCGTCTGTGAGCGTGTTTTTGTTTCCTACATCTGTTGACTTGCATCATATTTTAGATTCCACAAATAGGTGGCATCATATGATGCTCCCTTCCCTGATTTACCCCACTTATATAATCTCTAGGTCCATCCATGTTGCTGCAGGTTACATTATTTCATTCTTTTTGATGGCTGAGTAGTATTCCACAGTAGATATATTCTTCCAAGGTGGTGCTCGTGGTAAAGAAACTACCTGTCAACGAAGGAGATATAAGAGACACGCGTTTGATCCCTGAGATGGGAAGATCCCCTGGAGGAGGGCTTGGCAACCCACTCCAGTATTCTTGCCTGGAGAATCCCCTGGGCAGAGGAGCCTGGCGGGCTACAGTCCACAGAGTTGGACACAACTGAAGTGACTTAGCACGCGCACGTGTGTGTGTGCGTGTGTGTGTGTGTCTTCTTTATCCATTCATCTGTTCATGGACATTTAGGTTGTATGTCTTGGCTATTATAATGTTTCCCTTTTTTGAATGATCAGACTGAATTTATCAGACTGAATATAGATGGGATCTTATTCATCTTGATTCCAGAATCCAGCACTAGCACTGAGTAGTATTTAATATTTATGTTTACTATTAACAGTTATTAATCAATAAATGCTTAGTTTATGAATGCATGGACAGGAGACTGGTGAGAAGATGAGTGGATGTGTGAAGGGTGGAGATGGGTGGTGGAAAAAGAGAAGTGAGAAAGATTTACTCGTATTTATGTGTGTGGGTAGCACAAATATAATATAAGGGTGATAGATGAATGCATGGCAGAATGGTGGATGGGTAAGTCACTCAGTGGATAGATGGCTGGTGGGGGATGAGTGACTGGATGGGGAGGTGAACTAAAGGATGGATGACGGATGCAGAATGTGTGCGTGGGTGGGTGGCTGGTGTACACAAAATGGTTGGCTGGATGCTGGAAGCATAGACAGTGGTGCTGATGGTCAGACGATGGTGGGTGGTGGATGAATCTATAATGGTAGTTAAGTACGATGAGTGGATAGACTGATAGATGGAGGGCGGGTGAACTTGGACACTAAATTGGGTCTGATTGATACTGAAATAATCTATAGATAGTGCATTATAGGTAATAAGTGGTGAGTGGTGGATGCTTATTCAATAGCTGAATCATGGAATTATGGACGGATGGAGGATAAATAGTGGATGCTTATGAAGGATCTAGCTACAGAGAATGGATGGCTAGATGGTATTAATAGATAAATGTGAATGGATATATGATTGATGGATGGATCGTGAATGGTGGATAAATAAATGGTGGCTGAATGATGCATGGATGGCAAATAATGGATGGTTGCTGGGTCAGCAGATAATGGGTTGTGTGCTATGGACATGTAAGATGGAAGGTGGATGGTGGATGGATAGATGTCAATTAGGTGATGAATGGATGATGGCTAAATGACAGATACATCTTGGAATATAGATGCATGAAAGGTGAACGGTGGAAGGGAAGGTGGGCGAGAGATCGAAGGTGGATGGTAGGTGGTCAGTACTATATTATAAATCGATGACTTAATGTATTGATGGAGGAAGATTGGTAGATGGCAAATGGATGTGAATGGATGATAAATGAAGATGATATTGAGTGAGTAGTGAATAATGAATGGGGAATGATGTACAGATAATTACTGGGTGGTTTGTAATGGTGGATGGATCTCATTGCTGTATCTGCTCTATCCCCTGCATCTAAAATAATGCTTGGTGTAGAGAGGGCACTCAATGAATTCTTCTAGAATGGATGAATATGGATGGATGGTGGATGATACTTGAATGCGTTTTGAATGAGTAATGAATTATGGCTGGATGATGTATGGATGAATAGAGGATAGTGTGAGATGGGCAATGAATGGATAGATGGGTGGTGAACAGAGATAAGAAGTGGGTGGATGGTAAATGGTGGCTCACAGAAGTATGAATGGGTTAGGGATGGGGCGTGACTGGTGACCAAATAGATGAATCCATGACTGGATAGATGAATTGTGACTCTGTGGTAAAGAATCCGCCTGCCAATGCCAGAGTTTGATCCCTGAGTTGGGACGATCCCCTCAAGAAGGAAATGGCAACCCACTCCAGTATTCTTGTCTTGGAAATCCCAGGGACAGAGGAGCCTAGCAGGCTACAGTTCATTGGGTCACAAAAAGTCAGACAGGATTAGTGACTAAACAACAACTAACTGTGACTGACTGGCTGGAGGCCAACAGGTGAGTGGTGGATAAATTCAGATAAATGGACAGTAGCAGTAGATTTGGAGAAGGAAATGGCAGCCCACTCCAGTATTCTTGCCTGGAAAATCCCGTGGACAGAGGAGCCTGGTGGGCTGCCGTCTATGGGGTCGCACGGGGTCGGACACTACTGAAGCGACTTAGCAACAGCAGTGGTAGATTAGTGACTGAGAACCAGATGTGTGGTGAACGAATAAATCATCCATAGATGGAGAGACAGTTGTTAAATACTGATGGAACGGTGTTAGATAGTCAATGATGGTGGATAGATGGATGGTGACTTAATATAGGACTGAAGGGTATTTCCACGGTGTACTGTTTCTTGGTAAATGGTGGGTGTGGTGGTGAATGGATAGATGCATTTTGTTGTTGTTCGGTCATTCAGTCACGTCCGACTCTGCGATCCCATGGACTGCAGCACGCCAGGCTTCCCTGTCCTTCGCCATATCCCTGGAGCTTGTTCAAACTCATGTCCATCGAGTCGGTGATGCCATCCAACCATCTCATTCTCTGTCGTCCCCTTCTCCTCCTGCCCTCAATCTTTCCCAGCATCAGGGTCTTTCCCAATGAATCAGTACTTCACATCAGGTGGCCAAAGTATTGGAGTTTCAGCTTTAGCATCAGTCCTTCCAGTAAAATTCAGGACTGATCTCCTTTAGAATGGACTGGTTGGATCTCCTTGCAGTCCAAGGGACTCCCAAGAGTCTTCTCCAACACCACAGTTCAAAAGCATCAATTCTTTGGCACTCAGCCTTTTTTTTTTTTTTTTAGTTTAAATGCATTTTATTTTTAGACAACCTACATGACACGTTTTTCTCAAAAACAATGCCTCCGCTCCAAATAAATCAACGTTGAAAACAAATGAAGAGCTCGAGATGACATCAGTCCCATCTGTCTAAGTCCTGGTGTTGTGTGGATGAAGAGCAGTGGCCAGCCAGTTATGACGACAGGTGATTGATCCAAAGTAACTGCCAGCTTTGTTAACATTTTTCCATCTCTAAACCATCCTTAAAGAATATCATATATGGGGTTACACCATCCTCACGGTAGGCCAGCAGAGCAACCATGCCATCTGGATTCATGTTTTCACCAATAAAGAACTGATCGTTTTTGAAATTAGCAAGGATGTGCTTGATTTGTTCTGCAGCCCCTGTCATAAAAGGTTTTACTCTTTCTGGTCTCTGTTCTTCAAGTTTCCCTTTAATTGAGTTCATGTAATCTTTGATGTACTTCTTGTAGGCTTCTTTTGTGAAGCTGGTTTCCTGCAAGTGATGGTTCATGACAATATCGACACCAGTGATTACTGTGCTTTCGGTACCTTCGCCCTCCGGGCCTTCAGCGGAGGCATTTCCACCAATGAGCGAGTCATCGATGTTACCCTCTGTCCTACTGACCATCTTCCCCTCCACCTCCAGACACAGCCCGTCCGAGACCTCCCGGATCTTGTAGATGTCGGAGAACATCTCGTCATGGCTAATGAGGTCGCGGTAGATGATCATGATGGCGACTGGAGGGAGGCGACAGCGGCGCTGGCTTAGCAGGAGCCCGGAGCTCAGAGAGCGCAGTGCGGCCGGAGCGGCGCTCGGGGGGAGGGGGGAGCGGGCGGAAAAGCGCACTCAGCCTTTTTTATGGTCCAACTCTCACACCCATACGTGACTACTGGAAAAAATCATAGCTTTGAATATACAGACTTTTGTCAGCAAAGTAATGTCTCTGCTTTTTAATATGCTGTCTAGGTTGGTCATAGTTTTTCTTCCAAGGAGCAAGCGTCTTTTAATTTCATGGCTGCAGTCACCATCTGCAGTGATTTTGGAGCCCAAGAAAGTAAAGTCTGTCACTGTTTCCATTGTTTCCACGTCTATTTGCCATGACGTGATGGGACCAGATCCATGATCTTGGTTTTTTGAATGTAGAGTTTTATTTATTTATTTATTTATTTTGAATGTAGAGTTTTAAACCAGTTTTTTCACTCCCTTTCACCTTCATCAAGAGACTCTTTAGATCCTCTTCACTTTCTGCCATAACGATGGTGTCATCTGCATATATGAGGTGATTGATATTGCTCCTGGCAATCTTGATTCCAGCTTGTGCTTCATCCAGCCCTGCATTTCACATGATGTACTCTGCATACAAGTTAAATAAGCAAGGTGCCAATATGCAGCCTTGATGTACTCCTTCCCCAATTTTGAAGCAGTCTGAATTAAAATGGACTGGAATGGACAAATTTAATTCAGATGACCATTATATCTACTACTGTGAAGGCCTTGCAAATAGCTGAGAAAAGAAGAGATGTGAAAGGCAAAGGAGAAAAGGAAAGATATTCCTATTTGAATGCAGAGTTCCAAAGAGTAAAAGGAGAGATAAGAAAGCCTTCCTAAGTGAAGAATGCAAAGAAATAGAGGAAAACAACAGAATGGGAAAGACTAGAGATCTCTTCAAGAAAATTAGATACCAAGGGAACATTTCATGCAAAGATGGGCTCAGTAAAGGACAGAAATGGTAGGGCCCTAAGAGAAGCAGAAGATATTAAGAAGAGGTGGCAAGAATACACAGAACTATACAAAAAAAGGTCTTCATGACCCAGATAACCATGATGGTGTGATCACTCACCTAGAGCCAGACATCCAGGAGTGTGAAGTTAAGTGGGCCTTAGGAAGCATCACTACAAACAAAGCTAGTGGAAGTGATGGAATTCCAGTTGAGCTATTTCAAATCCTAAAAGATGATGCTGTGAAAGTGCTGCACTCAATATGTCAGCAAATGTGGAAAACTCAGCAGTGGCCGCAGGACTGGAAAAGATCGGTTTTCATTCCAATCCCAAGGAAAATCAATGCCAAAGAATGTTCAAACTACAGCACAAATGCACTCATCTCACATGCTAGCGAAGTAATGGTAAAAATTCTCCAACCTAGACTTAAACAGTACATGAACTGAGAACTTCCAGATGTTCAAGCTGGATTTAGAAAAGGCAGAGGAACCAGAGATCAAATTGCCAGCATCTGTTGGATCATAGAAAAAGCAAGAGAATTCCAGAAAAGCATCCACTTCTGCTTCACTGACTATGCTAAAGCCTTTGACTGTGTGGATCACAACGAACTGTGGATGGATGCATGGTGGATGGAACTTGGATGATGGCAGTTAGGTGGTGGGTTGTATGGGACAGTTGTTGGTTTATTGGTGGTGGGGGATGCATGGCAGACGGCTGAGGTTGGCTAGTGGTTGAATGATGATTGGATGGTAGAAGAGACATGAATAGATTGATATAGTAGATGACAGTGCCTGGGTAAGTGGATGCTGCTGAATCGTGGGTGTGGGCTGGGTGTTGGATGTTGGGTAGATGATGGTGGATGTTAGGTGTGGATGGTGGAAGGCTGGGTGGACCAGCAGGCGTGCATCCTGGCCTCAGGTACCAGGTCTACACTCCAGGCTGAATGAGACTGATTGTCCCTTTGCGGGAATGGAATCAGGGATGAAGAGGGGACTGGTGTGGTGACACTCCCCCTCCACACACACACTGGCCCTCACAGGAGTGGTCCTTGTGCTCTTCACTCCCCCTTCCAGCTGGAGGGTGTCCTCGCTCTGATGTATCTAGTCACCCTGGATTCTGCCCCCTGCATTCCTGAACCTCAAACTTGAGGCTGTGTGCCTCGAGTGGCTGGGATCAGGTTCTGGGGGGCTGCCGTTTTGGCAAGAGGGGAGATGAGGCCGGGATGCTACCTGGGAGCGTGAGTGTGGACGAGGGGCCGGACGAGGGAGCGCCTGTGGGCGGAGAGCGCGCGGGAGGAAGGCGGGGAGCGAGCCAGGGCGGGCAGACTGCGAGCGGGAGCGGCGGAGCAGACAGTGCCGGCCCCTCTCGAGCTTCCGCTGGCGGTGAGTGTGAGAGAGACACGGGGCGCGCCCCCTCCCCACCCTCGTCCTGCCCGCGGTGAGCCCGCACGGCGTCTGGGTGAGCAGGAAGGGGCGAGGGGTGGGTTTGAGTCGGCGCCTCCTGGAGAAGGGGGTGGTGTGGGGACCACAGCCAGCCCTGGGCTGTTGGACTCCGGGCTGTGGGCTCGAGAAGCGTCTCTGCGGGCTGGCCCGCCACACCTGGCCGCCGCTGCAGGTGTGGGTGGCCGAGCCTTCGCTGCGGGGATGCCCCACTGGCAGGGGCCCCTGGTGCCAGGCTGCGGGGAGGCAGCCCCCGCTGTCTGCCCGCTGCCCGCAGCCCCCTTGGCTCCACCGTCTTTCTCCATCAGCCGCCCCTTCTCCTCCTGCGTCTCCATCATCTCTCACCTCTTTCTGTAGTCTCTTTGAATCTCGCCCTCCAGTTCTGTCATCCCTGCGTCCTGTCTGTGACCCGTGCGTTTCTTTCTGCGTCTCCCTCTGGTCTTTCTCGCATCTGTCTGGATCTCTAAGTCCACTTTCCTGGGCTCGGCCCTGGCTGCCTCAGGCTCCAGTTGAGCTTCTGGGATCCTGGGGTAGAATCCCAGGAAGGGGTGACCCGGAGTCTTGGGCCTGGGGGAGGGCTCTCAAGTGCTCTGGGACTGGGTGGAGGCTCGGGTGGGTATGTTGGCTGCCCACTGCCCGGGAGGCCCCGTGCTGCCCGTGGCCCACCCCCCACTGCCCAGCCTCCCTGGGTCCCAGCGGGACCCGAGCTGACCCAAGCTGGGGTTTGGTCAAAGGAGCTCATTTCTTGGAATAGCTACCCTCCACCTCTTGCTGGGTGCACAGCACCCCTCCCCCACGACCAGCAGGGCATCGGGACCCTTGCAGGGGCTGGTCAGTGCCCTCCAATCTGCCCAGTGCCCCGGAGGCTGCCTCCCAACCGGTGCCACCCAAGTTAGCTGCCTGGCCACCAGACCCAGCCCAGCCTGGCGCAGGTGGAGTGTCGGAGCCTGGTGCCCAGCAGTCCTGGCAGGGCCCCTCTTCCCAGCGCCCTTGCTGTGTAGTCTCTGGCCGGGCTCCCTGGTGCCCGGGCCTGGCCTGAGGGGAAGTGGCCACAGGCAGGCAGGAGGTCAGCCTCCCTTCAGCTGTGGGGGTTGAGGGCGGGGCCTCGGGTGTGTGTGGGGGGCATCTGAGGAGTGGACCCTCCTGTTGCAGCCTAGGGCTCCCGAAGTAGGGCCTGTCCAGCGCCCCCCTGATGGTGGCTTGGCCGGGGAGCCGAGAGGTGGAGACCCAGCCTGGGCGGTTTCTGTGGTCCTGGAATGGGGTGGGTGCGGACGGGGGGAGGGTGTCTGGGGCTTCCGGGAGTGGACGGAGCGCTACATCCGGGCCCTAACACGCACCCCGCTTCTGCTCCTTGTCTTTGTGCAGCCGGACGTCGGCCGCAGCATGAGTGGCCCACAGCCCGCCGCCGCGCCCGAGCTGGGCCCAGACAAGGAGGCTGGAGGCCCCGCAGCAGAGGTATGTATGCGTTGGGGGCTCTGCGGTCTGCTGCTCTCAAGCCCTGGCCTGTGACAGCACGTGCCTCAGTTTACCCATCTGGGTGGGGGAGGCGCTTGCCCCTCCGCAGGAGTCTGACGCGCACAGTCGCTGAAGGCCCAGCTCTCCAGACTCGGGGAGACCCCAGTCAGGCCTGGGGAGCCCAGGGCCTGCGCCCAGCTTGGTCTGTGCTCTGCTGGCTGAGGCCAGGCTAGGGTCCCCTGCTCTCACCTCAGCTTCTCTAGGAGGTGTTGATGGAGCTGACGAGGGATTCTTGCCCACGAGGCCCAGGCCTGCTGCTCTGAGTCTGGGGTTGGGCTCTTCTCCTTGTTGGGGCCAGCGGGCCACTGAGGGGGCCCAGCCCAGAACTGCACGAGGCCCGGTCTGGGGCCTGGGGTTGCCCTCCTGCTGGGGAGTCTGGTGGAGAGGGTGGACACCAAACTCCACTGGCCCAGATCTTCCCGCAGCATCTGGGCAGAGGAGTGGCCCTGGGTGGGGCCCAGCAGGGCTTCCGGGAGGAGGGCACGAAGGAGACTGGCGGGGTCAGGGGGGAGAGGGGTTCTGGGGTAGGGGCGGGAAACAGCCCCTGGATGGGCAAGGCCAGCAGGGGGGTCCAGGAGATACAGTCCCTGGGCCATGGTGGGGTCGCCGGTCTTGTCCTTCTGACCCCACAGAAGTCCCAGCCTAGTGACACACTTCAGGATCTCTGCGGTACTTGGTTCAAAGGCTGATCAGACAGTGCACTGAAACACGTGTTCAGATGGTTCCGCTGAGGCGGGCAGGGAGGTGTGAGGGCCATTTAGCAAAGTCCTGCCAGCCGTGTGCCTGCTCCTCCCCGCCTTGACACGCCTTTGGGGAAGGCAGAGTGTGCAAGCAGCCGGCCTCCTGGGTAAGAGGTTGGGGTGGGAGCTCCCGGACGGGGACCAGCCCAACCAACCGGAGGAGGTGGGTTGGCACAGGAGAGTTAGGGCTGCAGGTCTGTGCACGGCATGGGGCGCCTCGGGGCCTCTACCTTGGAAGGCCTTGAATGGGAGGCGGAGATGCCGAGGGCTCCAGGAGGGCTTGGGGAGGCAGCCCCCGCACGCTCTTGTGGGCACTGAACAATGAGCCCAGAGAAGTTGCTCAGGTTGCCATGGGAACAGCTTCCCAGCTTCCCCGAGCTGGGAGGAGGCCAAGGGCCCTAAGAAAGACCCCAGGAAGGAGCCGGGCCTGATGCGGGAGCCTGCCTGCCGGGGAGGCACAAAGCCCTGAGCTCGCTCACCGTGTGACCTTGGCCTTTCCTGCCACAGGCCCTTCTGTGAAATGGGCCTGAGGGCTGAGCCAAGGTGGGTTCTGTGTGGCCCGGGCGCTGAGTGCCCCAGCTCCAGGGGTGGGAGGGGGAGAGCCACGACCCTCTGGGGGATGTGCACGCATGCGCAGGAGCTCACCTGGCCCTGGAGACTGGGCAGGTTAGGGACCCCCATTCTCCCTGTGGACAATGCAGGACAGGTGAGGCAGGCTGTGGGGAGCTCAGGCCTGCCGTTGCTTTGACCCCCTGCCCAACCCCCTTGCAGGCCATGGTGGGTGCCCGGGAGAAGGGCCCTCGGCTGGGCCAGCGGCTCCCCTCAATCGTGGTGGAGCCCAGTGAGCTGGGTGCGGTGGAGAGCGGGGAGCTGCGTTGGCCCCCAGAGGGCACCCAGAGGGGGTCTGCCCGGAGCCAGGCTGCTGCTGGTGAGTGAGGGGCAGCCCGTAGGGGTCCCGAGAGAAGTCAGACGCCCGGTCCTCCACCCCTCCAGCCAGCCCGCACCCCGCCAATCCGCCAGCCCCATGAGCTTCTGCCGTCTGGGCTCTGCCTGGCCTGGCCTTCCCTGCCACCCTCCCCACCATCTGCACACGCGTTTCCCTCATCCAGGTGTGGCCCCAGGCCTGGCACACAGGTGCACCCTTGCTCTCACCTCTCAACACCCAGTCCCAGCCCCTCTCCCCTCGCTCTTACAATTCATCACCTTTGGGACAAGTGTGCATTGCCTACTAGGGCCTGGAAGGGGTAAGGGTGTGGGTACAAGGCAGGTGGGTGTTGCAGAAGCTGGTGCAGGCTTCTGTCCTGGTGTGGATGCCCTGGTTAAAGGCCGAGGGGCTGCCAGGGCCAGGGAAGTTTCTGGGAGGAGGACATGTGGGCAGGAGAGGGGTCAGCCAGGAGCCAGTCTGCCGCGTAGCAGAAGCAGCTGGCCGGGCCCCCAGGGAGGGTGCCTGAGGGGTGAGCTGTGCCCTGGGCAGCTTTGTCCCCTGAGCCCCCGAGGGGTCAGTCCCGGGGGATTCAGCCTCAGATGGGGCTGCTCCTCCCTGCTTGCCCTCCTCTCCTCCAACGTCGGCCCCCAGCCCAGCCCTGCAGCCCTTGTGTTCCGCCGCTCCCCGAGCTTGGGCCCAGAGGAGCTTGTCTGCACCTTAACCAGCACCTCTCCCAAAAGTCCCCTCAACCTCCGGCAGGTCTGCCCGGGGCCCGCCCCTTGGGTACCCACTGAGACCTGGGCTCTGGGGAGGACCCTGGGTCTCCGCCCAGTCGGCCACCCCCGAACGAGTGGCCATGCCGAAGGCCAAGGTTCTCCTGCTCCCGGAGCCTGGCCTTACCCTCCCCCCACACCAGGAACCACGCACCCAGTGACCCTCCTGCCCCCCCTCACCGGTGGGGAGCTCGTGGCCTGCCAACCCTCACACCTCTCCCGGCAAACCTGTCAGAAATGCATGCCTCACCGACATGGAGGCCTGCATGTTTCCTCAGCCCCCTCACCGCGTCCGCCGGGAGCACCGGGGGAGGCTCCAGCTGACGCCGATGACGAGCGTGCCCAGGCCCCCTGCGCCCGGCGGTAGGACAAGGACCAGCCGGATCCTGCCGTCCCCCGGCTCTGACAGCCGAGAGGGGGCCTCTGCCCCGGAGTGGCTGGGCTGACACTTCGAGAGGCCTGGGCCTGCCCGGGCGCCCAGTGGGCACAGCCGATCACCACTCCTCCTGCCTCACAGGTCCACCAGCACCGCACCCCCCTCCCAGCCGCGGCCCAGGGTTTGGATCACACCCTCCTGCCTCTCTGGTGGGAAGCACAAATAAAGGCTCTTCCTGGTGGTCAGTGGGCACACTGGGCAGGCATTCCAGGGGCTGAGGACAGTTTGGGTCCTGCCAGTGGCCTTCCAGGCGAGGGTCTCTGCTCAGAGCCCAGGCTGACCAGACGAGAGTGATGGCCGGGTGTTCCACGCTGGATGTGGGAGTGCTTGGTGCGGCTGTCACGTCTGCTCCTACGGCGCCCTGCCGAGACCCTCTGCTCCACTTCAGCTGAGGCTGAGACCAGCGTCCTCCAGTCCTGGCTGGCCCCTGAGGGCAGGACTCCTCCTGCCACCCCTTACCCACTCTGGGTGCAGTAGGACACAGGAATGGTACATGGGTGGGGTGCACTGTCCCAGCTTGAAACTTTAAATCCTTGCATAATCCCATTGTACAGATGAGGAAACTGAGGTGTGAAGTGAGGTGTCCGAGGCTAGTGCTGGCCTCAGCTAGCACAGGACCCCTGAAGTTGGGAAGCCACCCAGCCAGCCAGACAGTCCATGTGGGAGACTGGGTAGCCCCTCTTCCTGAGCCTCGTGAGGGTCCTGTGCCTCCGAGGGGTCCAGGGACATGGCTTCTTGGCTCTGCTGACTGGTCAGGGTGGACCTGGGGCACAGAAACCTGATCACTGCCTGGGTTCACTGTCCAGGTGTGCCACCCTCCCTCCCATCACCCCAACCTGGCCCTCTGCCCTTGGCCAGCCTGACCCAGGCCTGAGGAAGCTCAGGGCCTGGCAGGGGGAGCCCTGAGTAAATGTTAGCTCAGTAAATCCACAGGCCCAGTGGGTGGTGCCAGGTCGGGGTAAGCATGGAGGAGGCGAGGGAGACACAGGCCCCTCTGTTCTCTCCCGGAGGCCTTGCTAACCTCCAGGATGAATAAGGCACTTTCTCCAACCCGCCTGCCTTCTAAAAATAGCCCACCCCCCAAACGCAGGAGAGCTGGGAGGCAGAGGTGCAGAAGTTTGCCAGGCAGCCCGCTTTGATTTTAAACCTGTGGCCAGTGTACAGGCCTAGGCTGGCTCCTCTTGGGGTGGGGGGTTGGGGGGGCTGGGCTGTCCTTCAAGGTCTCTCCCGTCCTCCTCTGGCCCTTCCTGTCGCCTCCACAAGGGGGCAGGGGGCAGACATCTCACAGAAAGCCTTGCCAGGATTTGTGGACACGGCGGATTTGGGTCCAGGGCTCGAGCAAGCCGGGAGTCCTTCCCAGGCGGGGGGGTTCCGGGTGTGGAATCTGTGTGTGTGGCGGGGGATGGTGCTGAGAGTTCATCCTCGCCCCACCCGGGCAGGGTGTCACTGCGACTTTCTCGAGGTCCCGCGGCTGACAAAGAGCCGGGCTGAGGCGGAACTCCCGGTGAGCCTGGGACCTAAGCGCCCGCGTGCCCGCAACGCCACCCTCGAGCTCATCATCGACCAGGGCAGATCTGGGGAAGAGGCGCCGCCTCAACTAGGGGGAGTCCCGGGACCCTGTCGTGCCCCGGGAGTATGGGAACGGGGGAGTCGGGCCCAGGGAGGAAGCCCGGTGGGTACCGGGCAGAGCAGCCTCACCCTCTGGGACTGCCCCATAACGAGTAGAACGGGCTGAGTCCACGCGCACAGTGACTGACCCGCGAGACGGCGTGGTAGGTGCAGGGGGCGGTGCCAGACGTATGCACCGCCCACCGGAAGCCCCGCCCCTCCGCCACGGCCCCCGCCCAGCGGCGGCCCCGCCCCACCGCCACGGCCCCGCCCACCAGCAGGCCGGGCCAGGGATGTCTACGCACCGCAGCATCGAGAGATCCAGGCTCGGAGACAGACTCTGTCCCTCGGGCAGGCCCACAGCCGGTGAGGGGTAGAGACCAGAGCCTCGGTGTCCTGTTCCCAGGCCGAGCTCTGTCCTGGGCCCCACAGCAGTGAAGGTGGAATTGGGGCACTTTGGGCCCCTATATTCAGCGTGCGGTAGCCTGGCTCCTCCCCAGGAGCCTCGAAGACGCGGGCAGGCCTCTGGTGGTGTGGTCCTTGTCCCTCTCCTTCCTGCTCTGAGCGCCAGGTGCTCTGCCGAGGTGAACCTCCTGAATCCCAACAGCAACCCCATTTTATGGAGAAATAACCTGAGGCTGGGTGCTCCCCTGGTAGCTCAGCTGGGGAATCTGCCTGCAAAGCAGGAGACCCCAGTTCGAGTCCTGGGCCGGGAAGATCCCCTGGAGAACGGATAGGCCAGCTGCTCCAGTATTCTTGGGCTTCCCTGGTGGCCCAGTTGGTAAAGAATCCACCTGCCATGCGGGAGACCTGGGTTCATCCCTGGGTTGGGAAGATCCCCTGGAATAAGGCATGGCAACTGACTCCAGTATTCTTGCCTGGAGAATCCCCTTGGACAGAGGAGTCTGGCGGGCTACAGTCCATGGGGTCGGTCTCAAAAGAGTCAGACAGGACTTAGCAACAGGACAACAAGAAGAAGAACCTGAGGCTGACTCAGGATTGCCTCTCCGAAGGCAGCGCGGTCCAGCAAGAGGCAGCAGGACTTGTTCCCATTGTCGGGTCCCCAGCCGTGTGCCCCTTTCCACCTTCCCCCTCGGCCCAGCCTTCTCCTGACCCAGGCCAGACCAGTCCTGTGCCCAAGGCTCCTCTGAGACAAGGCTGGGACTTTTCTGAAGGGATTTTACTGAGAAAATTGGGGAAAACAACCTAGAAATAGGACAAAAGAAACATCCCAGCCTCATGCTGAAAAGTGGACACAGGTTTGGGCAGGGGTGGGGTGCAGCTGGGAGCCGGAAAGAGCTCTGGGAGAAACCCCCCCATCCTGGGCCCTAAAGTGGAGGTAACCCACAACGGGAGGTCCCAGCACCCAGATGAGCCTCGTTGAGCTGGAGAACAGGAGGGGCAGACTGAGGACCTTCCAGTGCACCACCCGTGGCCGCAGGGGAAGACCAAGTCCTCAGAGCCAGAGACCTGGACTCGCCTGCCATATAGCGGGTTCCTGTGCCTTTCTGAGTTGGTGACCCCGTGCAACATGGGTGGGGACCGGCTACCCCACAGAGTCCCAGGGCTCCCACCAAAGAGTCCTGGGTGGTCTCTTTGAGGACCCCTCCTTCTGTCAAGAGTTGTGCTTGGCCCTCTGATCTGTTCTCCTCTGACCATTGAAGAGACACATGGGACAGGAAGCCAGCAGGCAGGCCAGCCTGAGCTGGGGGACCGCTCACCCAAGTAGCTGGTGCCTCACAGGCTTGAGCTGGAACTCTGATGGCCTCACCTCACAGAGGGGAACCCAGGGCTCTAGGATCTAATGACTCAAGAGGAAACTAGAGGGCTTCCTGGTGGAGGTGCTGGCATCTCAGGTACAGCGTGATCTGTCTGCAGATGACAGCAAGGTGCTGCAGCATCTCAGGTGCCTTCCAGTCTGCTGTGGGCTGGATTTTGTCCTCAAAACTTCCTTCTGTTGAAGTCTTAACTCCCAGGACCTCAGAGTGTGGTTGTATTTGGAGATAAGTCTTTAAAGAGCCATGGGGTCACAGAGAGTTGGACATGACCTAGCGACAGAACAACCACAACAAGTTAAAACAAGCCCATTTTAGTGGGTCCTAGTCCAACATGGCCTTATGAGAAGGGGCGGTCAGGACACAGACCCACAGAGGGGTGACTGTGTGAAGACACAGGGAGAGGACGGCTGTCCACAGCCCAGGAGAGAGGCCTTGGGAGAAACCAGCCCTGCCAGCACCTTGATCTGGGACCTTGCAGCCCTCAGAACTTCGAGAAAATGAATGTCTGCGTTGGCAGCCTTGGGATGGCCCACAGGCTTGTGTCTGCTCTCTCCAGGATGCTGTCTGGAGCACCTCCGCTGCTCTGCCCCGCGGCCCTGTGGCTCCAGCCAGAGTGAACAGGCCTGGATCTGTCCGCCCTGGATTTTCCCTAAGTTTTTTTCCCTAGGACGCTAGCAGCGGAATCCCCCCAGGAAGGTGTGGGGCCTGCCTCTTCTGGGAAATCTCAGTGACCCTTCCCACTAAATGTCTTTAACTGGAGCCACCGTGGGGAAGTGGGCCACGTGCTCGTGGCCGATCAGGCTCAGGCCCACCTCCGTGCCTTCCCTCGCGGGCTGACCCCTGCCATCCCTCCTCGCCCCTGAGTGCGATCCTGTCTGTCCTCTGGGGCCCCCTCCTTCTCCCAGGTCCTGATGAGTGGCTTACAATGTTCCTTGTGGTGTCGCTGCATCCCTCCCCACTCTCCGCTCCCCCACGTCTGCCCTCGGGGCTCTTAGCGCAGGCAGGGCACCGGGGCTCTCAAGATGAGCTTGGCGGGGCACAGGACTGGTGCTGACGATTCCGCCCTGGAGGAAAGGGTCCTTCTGGGCTTGGGCGCCGTGGGCTGGGTGCCCACTTCCAGCTGGTTGGCACCTGCTCCTTCAGGCCTCAACCTGACCACAGGAGGGACAGGCTGTGTAAGGTATAGTTTGGGCCGAGGCAGAAAAGGAAAGACGACCTCAACAGAAGTAGGTTACCTTTATTCAGGCAAGGAGGGGCAACAGTTGGCCTAACGACCAGGCTGAGCACCGAGAGGGGTCAGGGAGGCTCCAAATTTATAGGGAGGTTTGTGGAAGCGATAAGGGAAACGTTAATGAGGCGGGGTGTTTTGGGTATTCTTTAGTTGAGATGGCATTTGTAGTTGGGCAGGGGGTGATGAGTCTTCTGGGCGGGTGTAGGGGGTGGAAGGTTTTCGGACAGGGGGTGATAAGTCCCAGACAGATGCAACCAGCCTGGAGCATCAGGGTGGGACCTAAAGTTCTGTTTTGTTTTCTCCGAAGTTA